TATAGGTACTGAATGGTTAGTTAAGGAAAGGAGAGAGTAGATTACAGTCTGTAATTTGAAAATTATAAAGTGCATTATATTATGTGGTGGGTAACTGTTTAGTGTGCTTCCTTGTCATAGGGCATATTAACAGGCAAGGAGAAATCAAAGTATCTGACAAGGTTTCTGAAATCATCTTCTTACATCGTTCCTGTGTATTTCGAGGATGATGAACAGCAAAACAAAATATTCATATACCTTAAAGATTTCCTTGACAGGACCCCTACTGTTTTGCTGATCGAGGATAAAATCAAGTTCATTCTTGATGTGTTGATGCCAGATGTAAGTGTTGGATTAATTTTGAATGCACTTGATTAAGTTGCTGAGCTTAATATTTGGTAGATAAATCATGAGTTTTATTTGTCTATGGCCTTTCTGCACTCCTTAATATTGATTTTCAGATGGCAGAGGAAATGATCCTTGCAGGCCCTCCGTTAGATCAAAGGTATGTATTCGTGTTTAATCTTGAAGGGTTTAATTTTTAATTATTCTGTAAAAATGATTAAGCAATTTTCTTCTTTTCAGTGAGAAAGATGTATTCAATGAATCAATTGATAAGTACATGAAAAGGAAAGGTTTTGGTTGTAAGAATCGTACTTTCTATGTTTAATTTTTTTTTGTTTGTCAGCGGGGACTCGTTTAAGACACGTTGATGGAACGGAACTCCCACTTAAATGAGCCAGACTTGTCTCTGTCTTTCTCTTCCTTTTTTATCATCCCCTCTCTTCCATTCTCTCTTTTCATTGCTCTCTTAGTACTATAAAGTGTACATATGCATTTTTATTTTTATATAGTAATTTTTTGTATTTATAAATGTTATTGATGTGTTTTATATATATATTAGATTGTTATATCATTGTTTTTAAAAAAAATGTTGTTTCAACTTCAAGTCTGTCATGAATTTCGCATCATAATAACCTACATCCACGATATAACTGATTTCTGTGAACATCATTTTTAAGATAAATATGCTTTGTTTTACTTATAGTATTAAAATATTAACAGATTAATAATAAATATATGTAGTGTGTTCGTAAAGAAGTTTAAAGGAAACATTTTATCGGCAGTATGCAATCATAATTTTTTAATATTAATAACCCGCCTCCCCATACATTTATATTTATTACCAAACATGTAATAATAATAAAATTTGCAAGATTTTTTGCGTTTATTAAAATCTTCTAAAAAAGAAATATATTGGTGCGTTTCCCAAAAATGTTGTCTCTTGGTGTTACGAAGGCTCCAAAGGTATGTCTTAGCGAAGTTGTTCCTTTACCAAAGAGAGAGATTGAATACCGCTTCTTTCAAAAATGTTGCGGATAAGGACTTTGCACATTTTGTGCAAAGCACTCGGAGATTGTGAGAGCGATGTTGGAGCTTATCCCTGTGTTGCGCGAGTCTGAAAGAAACTGTGTGAAAATGAGAAAGTTGGAGCTATAGTACCACCATGCCACTGTACATACATATTAAGCACTTATAACATTTTCGTAGCTTATGCATTTTGTCTGTCTGCAATTCATTGC